TGTGTGTGTGTGTGTGTGTGTGTGTGTGTGTGTGTGTGTGTGTGTGTGTGTGTGTGTGTGTACGTAAGTGTGTGTGTGTGTGTGTGTGTGTGTGTGTGTGTGTGTGTGTGTGTGTTCGTGTTCACGGTGGTAAAATCTGGGCTGCAAAGTTCCCACATGTCATAGAACCCGAACTGTGTTCGATCGTGTTCGATCTGGGCAATTCGAATCGAACCCGCGTTCTATTTCGGGGTCACCTGCGGTCATTTACTATAAAGCGGCAAAACAAGCCTTTCTGCCTCCGTGCATTGCAACAGATAAAAAACAACACTTTTCTATAGATACAAACAGTTTCCTGGACAGTACATGTCCGCTATTATTTTTGGTGGACATGTAACATGTAGCGAAGCTACTGTCGTATCCTTGAGTGACCTTGAATACTGTAATGATTCTTTACGCCAGTATGAATAACACAATGCACACTTTCTGGCGATATGACATGTCTCCAAAACTCGTTCAAACCTGGAAACATGGAGAGTCAAACATACCCCATTTACGGCTCAAAATGACTGTAACGGTTGTCCCGAAAATCGTGTTTTAGGGATTTTTGAAAAATGGCCTCAATTTTGAATTATGGGTAATTTAGTGAGAAAAATGTCAAAAAATGCCATTTTTTCACCAATATGTCGACAAAAACTAGACTTAAAATCAGAAATTAAAAAATCCCTAAAACACGATTTTTTGTCTTATTCCTAGTCTGCGAAAAATATAAAAATCGGGGATCTGGGGTAATATACGTAGCCAGGTTTGAACGATGTTTGCCTAAAAACGTGACATGACTTGTGCTCGGAAACCCGAAAATAATCGTCTTTCTGAGCGAAATTTTAAAAAATCATTGATTTAACATAAAAAGCTAACATTTAAAGGATGTTAAGACGATAATTTCATTTTAATTTGACGAAATTTACCCCTAAATATTATTTGTGTATTTTCAAATATTTTACGGGTAGTCCAAAACAGGCCAAAATAGCGTCTTGTAACCCGATACCTTTTAGAACGCGCATAGCAATGGGAAAGAATGTCGTAGTGACAGACCGCCGTGGTTCCTGCCTCTGTGTGTGTGTGTGTGTGTGTGTGTGTGTGTGTGTGTGAGTGTGTGTGTGTGAGTGAGTGAGTGTGTGTGTGTGTGTATGTGTGTGTGTGTTTGCCTGACTGTGTTTTTGCCTGCCTGTCTGTGTCTGTGTGTGTCAGTGTGTGTTTCCGCAGATTGTCATGGATATGGTTGGAGTTACTTTAGTTTGTCCCAGAGTGAGAAACTCATTCATCATTTCTACAGTTCTTCACCACACGCTCGTTGCTTTCGCAGGTGTTAGTCGTTACACGATCTTCTCGACAGCTGTTGCCCTTGTGCGATATAGAAGGACATTGCAAAAGCCGATTTTATTAGTGCACCAGATGGCAAATGGAGTCTTTTAATTTTGATTCTTATTTGTTCAAAAGAGATTTTCATTCCCCTCTAAAAAGTGGTGACTTGTAGATTTAACATTTCATGGAGGTCTGAGATCTCCGAATTCTTGTTTCCTTATGAAAACAAAAAGCTCAGTATACCATGGACAGTGCAGCCACTTTCATGCGATGAAAGTAATAATTTCTTGGGTATCAAAAACACATTGTTGATGGAATATATTAATTACCTTACACACAAAGAAATAAAGAAAATACATCAAAATAAATCTCAATTTGAATCCAGTAGCGATCTGACCGGTGGTACGGTAAATGGTTTTTGTCCGAGTGCCTAAATCCAAGCCTTAAACTCTTAGTTGTCCTCCAAGCCGCCTTCTTCTGCCCTTTTAGCCTTCTTTGATTCTCGTTCTTCTGTGAGCAATTGATCCACTCTAATGGTCACCAAGGCTTTCATCATCCCATGGAGTTCTGACAGGGATCTGTAAAATGTCTCCACACCAGCGCAGAATGTAGCCTGGGTCCCATCCGGTTTTTTTGTTGTTTTTTTTATTCATTCACATAGAGAAAGGTACAAGACATGGTGGTGCCACACTCAAGTGGAAAGCACTTATGTTTACGGCACCACTAAATAAATACATGTAATAAAGAAAAAACAAACGCAACTTTAAGACAGGCAAAACAGTAAATACAGGAAATTCAAAAGCGCAAGTCCGGTTCCCCACCCAATGATAAATGATGGCAAAGAGAGGACACAATACATAGATAACACACGGGGAAATTGAAATCTTTTAAAAACGTTCTGATGTGGTGATAAAGTTTTGGGTAAGTGATAATATATTGAAATTGACAACTGATGAGAATGCGGGACTGCCACGGAGTAAAAGGTCAGTTTTTGCGTTGTCAGAAAGAGTTATAAAATCTAGGGTGTGTCCTGGATAGTTTGCCAAGGAGAGTAGAGCGTTGGAGTTGAACATGGGGCAGTGGAGTAGGTAATGTGGGACGGTTTCACATTGGCATCCGGTTTGTAACGGAGCTCCTTGCACTGACCCCGAAAACAAAAAACGGATTGCTCCCGGGCTACGGAAAATGAGCCTTCTAACATATTATTAGTGAAACTTTATTGCATGTTCATTCCCCGGGGGGATAAATGCACGGATGTACAATGTACTAGAGTACTACAACAATAGTAATAAAGAAAGGCTAACATCAGGTCTAAGGTATACAATTGTTATATATGCTGGATGCTGCTGGCTAGTCGGGCGGCATCGTCGGGATGGCGTGGGTTGAGCGCTCGAAAGCGCTATACGCTGCCACCAGTGTTATATATGCTGGATGCTGCTATAGAGATGACCACACTAGACCACGGCTTGGGCCAGACTGATGTGCAGGGACAGAGGTCCCTGTCCTTTATTGATACCAGATGTGACACCACATGTGTACAAGTCCTACCCCCTACACAATGCTAGAAAAGAAATATACATATAAAGTGGTATAGATCTAAGTTCTAATGGCTTCTTCTCTTTTTTGGACACATTTTGAAATACTAGTATACTTACATACTTCATTGATGACGTCTATATTTGTACATGATATGATATATTTAAAAGTGTCTTCCTTTGATAATGTTTTACATTTTTTGTCGAGCTTAATTGAACTGAACAGTGATTTACGTTCGTTATCATATAGTATACAGTCAAGCATAAAATGCGATTCATCTTCAATACAAGAATTGTTACAGAACTTGCATATCATACTTGAAGCGTTTGAAATAGCCCAGGAACAAGCTACGTGATGCGCCTCTTTATTTTTTGGGTACCACCCATAAATGGCTAGAACCATAGCCTGGTATCCAGTCTGATCGTGATTGGGGGTATTGGGGTGTTCAGGCAGGTTGTGTCTTCGGGGCCTCTAAGAGCTTCCCCCGCCCAGTGCAACAGACCGTCCCGGTAGGAGTGTTACGCTAATCAGAGACAGTATGCTTGGGGATTTGGTTTCCCCCCAACACGTGGAGGGCTAATTAATCTCTCTTGAAATACACACCGGGAAACCTATGTGAGGCGGGCGGGCCAGAGCTCTTACGGCGCCGACCACGATCAGACTGGATACCAGGCTACTAGAACCATCGTACCATACGAAACTATCAACCGTTTTCCCTCAGCGACATCTCATTTTTGCCTCCAGATATCAGTTTGCTATAGAATAGACTTGATTCAACTTACTGCATCAAAAGAATTACCCGAAATCATGACTTTGAAAATCCAGTTCTACCGCCCTAAAATTTCATTCGATGCCTTTAAAGGCATCCAATGCGATTTCAGGGCAGCAAAACTGGAAATATTCTGAATAAGGCAATCTTTGTAATATTGACACACACTACTTCACAGCACATTTAAATCAGCATTTCATACTTTGAGCATTTAAAACTGCAAAAACAAGCCCAAAGATGAGTCCTTTATTATCTGGGTGGTACCCTAAAAATCAGCCCAGGGCCCTTCCAGTAACCATTTTCTGTCAGAAATTTGGGAAAGTTTGCTCCATGAGGGTCAATATACATTGGGATAGTGTTTTTTTTTCAACTGAGTATGTAGATAAATGACTAGAATATTGGCTTTGAAAAATCTGTTTTCCAAGACCTAAAAACTGCACTGCACCTTTAACACAAGCTGCACTGACTAGCGGCTAGCAGGCAGTAACAGTCGCTACAGATCCTCCCTTTTAGCAGTTAGATTTGTAGCTGGAATTGTCTCGATTATGAATCAGTGGCAGAAGTAAGACGAGTATCCGTACTACATATTAAGTAAAAAGGTTCTATGAAAAATAGGTTTTAGTGTAATCAATAGATAATCCCTTTCAGCCAGCGATGATCCGATTGTGCGGGCGAGCTGCTTTCCGTTTCTAAGGGTTTTAATATCGTATACGTCAGTAAGGATGTACTACTCAACATCTCATAAACACCTGGGAGATGCTGATTTCGAGACGGTATTTCAGGAGAGCTGTATTTTTCGTTTAGGCCACAGCAAGTAAGTTTTATGGATGACATCCTCCGCAGACTTCAAATCTAATGCGAGCGGGCAAAAAAAAAAACAAGGCGGGCCGAAAACAACAAGGTTCCTACATTTTAAAATTTTGACTCAATCATTGTACAAATGGTTTTGATTCGGCGGGAACATCACATATACACAACCGGCGTCACATATCACTGCATCACAGTAATAAACAAAACATTAAATCAGAGCCTTTTCTTGTCTCCTAGCTACATAGTTATCTGTCATCCACCTTCCGGCATGACAACAGACATCTGCCCATTTTTGGCATGCTAACCACTGTCAGAAGGCAATAAAATTTGTTTTTTTTCTCTCCAAAATCAGGCGAAAATTGATAAGCGCGCTGACGTAAAGATTACTTGCTGTGGCCTTACGTTATGAGCAAGCTCCTGACGAGCACTGCAATTCAGACCGTTCAGGGGATGACGCCACATGCCCTTGGTCGAGATTTCCGGCCCCTAATATTGTTTATTGTTGTATTTAAGGATGGCTTCCGGTCAATAGTTATAAAAGGTGGTGCAGGAAAAAATATCGTCTGCAACGGACAAAATTCTGATGCAACATTGACAAAACATCCAACGGAAATCGTGGTTTCGCGCAGGCGCTGTACGTTCTGCCGACGAGCGCTCCTAAAATCCATTCTGAAGTTCTGTCGAGTAGTCGTAGCGAGGCGGAGATTACCGAAGTTCTTCCATCTTGCAGTCATTATTTCGTCGTTAGGCCACAGCAAGTAATTTTTATGGATGACATCAGCGCGCGCATTAATTTTCGCCTGATTTTGAAAAAAAAAAAAAACAAGACATTTTGTTGCCCTCCCGCCCTCTGACAGTGGTCAATATGCCGAAAATGGGCAAAGATGTCTCTTGCCATGCCGGGAGGCAGATGACTGAAGAGATGAGACAAGAAAAGGCTCTGATTTAATGTTTTGTTTCTTACTTTGATGTAGTGATGCTGGCTGTGTATATGATGTTCGCATTGAATAAAAACCATTTGTACAATGATTGAGTCAACATTTTAAAATATATTAATGTAGGAACCTTGTTTTTTTCGCCCGCTCGCATTAGATTTGGAGTCGGCGGAGGATGTCATCCATAAAATTTACTTGTTGTGGCCTTACGAAGATTGTCGAAGCTAGGAGCTCGAGAGCTCGCCAGAGGATATAGGCACGACGTGATTGGTCGTAAATATGACGGTAAGTTAGATGGTGGGCGTGGCGTCGGTTGCCAGGAGAAAACACACGGCAGTGTACCGGCGTGCGTGTGCGTAGTTGGAGTACATGGTCAACATGTCACGTCTCACCGGTCCATGGGTTCCTCTGTTGCTGTGCTTTTCTGCCTTACAGAAGGTAAAGTGTCCCTCGCTTCCATTCTTGTAGAGCAAAACGCTGTGATCGTATTCCGTTTTATAGTGTTGATTTTATAAAAGTTTGAACGAATGAAAACAGTTGTGTCCTTGTCAGGTGCAGGCATATTGATATACAAGAATGGCGTAGAATCCACCAGCAGCACCGGTACTACATGTATAGCACAGAATTTGAAAAGAGTCATACAATCAAGTATCACGTTTTCAATGGTGAACATCACAAACCTGCATTATCTATAACGTCTACGAGCGGTATCTGTTAAAAACATAGGTGCATCCGCAAATTTTCCTTTTTTTGAAATTCTGTATTCCTTCTGTTGTATATTTATAAAGGCGAATATACATTTATACATTTACGATTTTCTCGGTTTCGGTTGAAAAAAATTTGATGTACATTTAACTACTATCAAAGCCCGAACCTTACAGAATATGATTTTGAATAATCAATCACTTTCGTAAATCTAGGAAGATCTTCCGATTTATCCACATGATTATATACTACATACAACATAAGACTTTCCCCATTCATACTCGATGTTTTATATTTCAACAGATGAGCTATGCCAGATGGGAAGCAGAGTACATCTCGTACGCGGCGCCTACAGATACAATCATTCGCTTTCGGTACGTAAGTCGTCAATATTGTAGCTACCTTATTAGCCTCTACCAGGCACCGCGGATCGCTGGAAAAATAGTAGAAATTGGCTGAAATAAAGGGATAGTATACCAGAGAAGATCCAGGGCCATAGAAGCTCCAATTTGCGACCCACGACCAAAGTTTCTTTGTACGAATAATAGGGGGATTAATTTGATATCGTTTGAAGCTTGCGACTCCGCACAGGCTCCGTGGGTCACAAATTGGAGCTTCTATGGCCCGGATCTTCTCTGGTATACTATCCCTTTATTTCGGCCAATTTCTACTGTTTTTCCAACGATCCGCGGTGCCTGGTAGAGGCTACTACCTTATAACAATCCTCACAACATACACGTACAGAAACTATTAGGTTTCCCTCGGCTTTAAGTAAGAATTGGCATTAAAGGACAACGCTGACAATCGACATTATCAATCCAATTCTGGTGAGGATGGTGTCTTCTCATTTGTGATTCAATATGTATTATCATATAGCCAGGTGGCGTTGACCAATCAGAAGCCCCCATTCCATATTGATTATGATGCCATAATGTCACAGTTAGCATGATACAAGTATTGCCAGGTGCGTTTTATTCTCACAAGTGTGCTTTGTTGCACAATAAAGCACGGCCCGGAGCAAACCATTTGCAGGGGAGTTGACTCTTTTTGCTAACATTTGTAGCACGTTTCCTTGTTGCGTCGCTTCGCTCACTCGGTGGCTTCATTCGGTGGTTATAGCAACTGCCAAGGCTTTGTCACACCATATTCACCTCGGGGCGGGTCATTAACCCTTAATTCTCTACTTGTTTTTTTTTTTAGAGCTGGAAAATTGGTTCCAGTCCTCGACCATTCTGATGATGAACACACAGCGCGCCCGGCCACCACTCCTTCCCACGACGACTTCCAAACCTGTCAATCAGAGATGGAGTGGCCTCTGATTGGTTCGTCTTGGTCCGGGTGGGCGTGTCAGGACCATCCCCAAGAACAAGAGTCCCTCCCCGTCTGCAACGTCTTGTCTCCCCTGGTCCAACTCATCCTAGACTATGCTTATCCGCGTCTGCCACCAATGAAACCAACTGAATCAAACAGACAGATAGAAAAAGACACTATATTACAGGCGCCGGTCATCTCTACAGGTGAATCAACGGGTGAGGTGTCGCCCACCGAACCAAGGGTGAAATACAGGCGGTGGGATGGCGGGGGACGGCCGCGATGTTCCTGTCATCGCTCCTGCTTCAAACGCTTCCGCCTCGCTACAGAACAGCGAACAGCGGTGCCGGTTCGGCAAGACAAGCGAATGCGGTAAGTACATATTGTGGTAATACATCCGTGTTTAGAATGGGAATGTCACGCTCTTGTTATGTTTACCGAAGGAAAACATATTGTTTTTACTCAGTTTCTTCCTCTTCTGTTCCAAACACTAACCTCTGACCTGGCCAATGACATGATTTGTTGACGTCTGTCACCATGGTAACTGGTGTTGGGTTACATAATGTCATGGTCTGCTCTGCTCCTGTCACCATATACTCGTAGTACATGTATGTGAATGTGTTTGAGTAAAAAATAACAGCTAGGGCAGACCATTTCCGAAGGTAAGCATTATGCATTTGCTTTGCAAATGTTACTTTTCTAGTTAATCCTTCTTCATTCATGCCCTTAATCTTATGTCTATGAGTAACGGATACGTCTCCTCAAGGACATTATAATGACCTTGGCCTCCTAGCCAGAAACCAATCATTCTCCAACAACACATCATCCTCACGAGGACAAGTGTGAACGTCAAGATAGAACCATTATCATACTGCCAAATGAATACTTTACTGCCCAATCCTTTCACAATTTAAAAGACTACGTTCCTACTAAGATCACCAAACCGACTCATTATGCAGAACATGGGACAATTTATTATCCACTGGCTTCAAAGAAGAAGTCAAACCTCATAATAACAAGCCTAATAGTAGTATAAGTTGAACAGGCAGTAGTTGTATGTTTCCTATTGCTTTACATTTCTTTCTTTGATACCGTCTACATTTGTATACTATTAGCCTTCGGGCATGACGAATACAGTAATACAAAACCTTAGATCTGTGAGTCTTAGACGATTTTAGAAGAACAAATGTCACGAAGTCTCACTAGCCTCCTTCGCAGACTTGTTGGGTGTCGGCGTTATTTTTTTCTATGAGCGGCCGACGCGAGTAAAATACATGCCGCCGCGAGGGACGATTTGCTGCCGAGGGAGTTTTTGCCGTGGAGAAAAGGAGCGCGAATCCTTCTCGCGGCAAAAACTCCCTCGGCAGCAAATCGTCCATCGCGGCGGCATATTACTCGCGTCGCTCACAGAAAAAAAAATAACGCCCACGCCCAACAAGACTACTGCGAAGGAGGCTAAAGTCTCACCAAGTGACATTTCATGTTTCCCAGGCACCTAATGTTACGTAGCTGTGTGGCCGTGCTGGCTGTCTTCTTCGTCAACCTGTTGTTTGTGGAGGTCGGAAAACGGCAGACTGGGGCCACAACATAAGCACCTCATCTAATCTACCTCAGTCTGTTGTACAGTAAAGATTGTTTGTATTTGTGACTATAAATATACTATCTACTACATGTACTGTAATTCACTTTATGTTCACTGTTAGTAGCAAAATTTCATGGTCTGAGAAAAATGGACATGTTCACGGAACTATATTTTCACGGTGGCGACAGGTGCAGGAAAGAGAAATTCCATGAATTATTTGTAACTGTAACGATAAGTTAACGGTACAGAAGTGACAGTGAAAACAGTGAACATACATGTAACAGTACAGTGAAAATATCAGGAACTAGTATGTTGACGATTAGGTTGATTTTAGCACACTTTTAACACAATCTAAGTAAAATGTACAGCAAAACTTCCGTATTAAATTTGATTTCATCGGCCCGAGTGCAAGTACTTCAAGACTACTGTAGTATGTATTGTACTCACTATTAAATGGAGATCTGTCAAATAAACAATAAACATCTCAACATCTCATTTCAAATTATTGGCACAGTTCATGCTGCATAGTATACATCTGTTTGTACTACATGCATATATACACTTATCCAATGGCCCATGTGGATACCGAATTAGATAGTTTAATAGTTGGGCGTTAGAAAATGATATGATCCTAAACGGCGATAAGTGTAAGTTACTAATGATTTCATTTATGAGAGATTGCCCCCAGCCCCCCCCCCCCGTA